CTTTAAGAAAAATTACTTTATTACAGTTTCAGAAAGGTTTTGGGAAAGAGCTGAGCTAAATACAGATGTTTATATTGCTGTCTTTAGTTGGAAACTTGATCCAGCATTTAACATATAGTATCATCCTCTTAACCCCCAACCTGGTTTATGGTGGTAATTAACGTTAATGGCTTAGACAGGAAAATGCTGGTGGCTTCCAGGAAGTTAGGAGGAGGTTTGTTCACAGTTCACAGGGCTTTAAAAAATTCACATGTTCAGTTACTGTTTTTAAACAAGTAAACTTATAGTGACTTAAAGGATTTGTATAGATTTTCCCTTTAAAATTAGGCTTTGGAAGAGGAAAATAAAGCATTTGAATGTCAGATCTGGGCTAAGCCAAGAACCGTTGTATATTGTTCATGTTTGCCTTCAAGTAGGTGGTAGAAGGGAAAATGTTTTCAGGTTTTATTATAAAACTTATGACAAGCAGAAGGACTGCTGGCCTGACACATGCCACTTCTGGGGCGTCGGCTGTGGGGTGCAGCGAGAAGGCACTGCTCTGTCTCTACCAGCACAAGCTGGTCCTCGCGAGCTTTCTGGCTCCCTGCACTTCCGAGAGCTGGAGGAGGCCGACGGGGTTTCTTCCACACTCTCAGGAGACCCCTTAGCTGAGAGCTTGGAGTGTCTGGTGTCCGGTGGAGGCTGGTCTCAGTGGGGCTCCCGAGGCACAAAGCTAACTGAGCCGGTGATGGTTCGATGCTCCCGGATAGGGCTGTTGTGTTGAAGTCAGTCGCCAGTTTACTAGGGCTGCCCTAGCATAGCACCACAGACTGAGAGGCTTAGAAAACAAGCGCATGTCCGCACAGTCTGGAGGCTGCAGCCCATGATCCTCTGTTGGCAGGAAGAACCCGTCTCTGCCTGTCTCCCAGCCGTGGTGGTTGTGGCCGTTAGCCTTGCTTGGCTTGCAGGCACGTGGCCCTGATTTCTTCTTTCATGCTCACATGGCCTTCTCTTTGTGTGCCTGTCGCTGTGTCCAAATTTCCCTTTATAGGGACACCAGTTATGTGGGGTTAGTGCTCGCCCTAATGATTTTAAGGTGATTACCTCTGTAATATACTGTCTCCAAATAAGGTCACACTCTGAGGTGGTTAGAACTTCAACATATCTTTCTTTAGGGGCACAGTTCAACCCCTAAAATCCGGCCATTTTCGAGTATGACTTCTCTGTGTGTGTACAGGGCCCCTTGCAGGGCCTCCAGTCAGAGGAGGGGAGGGTTTGCTGAGGGGAGCAAGCCCAAAGGGTCCCATCCCAGCGGGATCTTGAGGCCATTGTCCAGGGTCCTCCATGTTGTGAATGGGGTACATACTGGGCTAAGGAAGTACAGATCCAGTGCTCCTGTTGCTTATTGCTTATTGTTGGGAAAGATAAGAGTTGGTGTGGGGCAGGGAGATTACCTGCAGGCTCCCAGCTGCACACCATAGACAGCACTCCCTCCAGCCCCCTCTCCTGCCGGCTCTGGCCCCGTGCTGGGTGGGCAGCTCTGGTGGTGGTGGGGAAGCAGTCGGTTGGATGTCGTGATTACGGAGGGTGTACATATTCTTCTCAGGGACATGAGAAGACCTGTGCATGGGAGGTCTTATCACTGTCTCCAGACAGGTGTGCCTGGCTCTTAGGCACACTACAAGTGTGTGTGGATTAGTTAATGCTGCATTTATGTGTGTCATTTGTCACAAATATAGAGCAGAGAAGAAACAGATGTGCCTTTTAGAGGAAGGAGAGAGCACTTTCTTTGCCGCGGGTTGGGGAGGCTTCCTGGAAATGACGGCCTTTGAGTTGGACATGAGGGCTGGAGTCGGACAGTTCTGGTAGAGGAGGAATGCCGAGAGCTCAGTCAGCTCCTTTTGTGGTTGTTGTTGTTGTTGACTTTTTAGAGAGAAAGGAAGGGAGAGCAAAATAGAAACGTTGATCAGCTGCCTCCTGCATATCCCCTTCGGGGGCTCGAGCCCACAGCCCAGGCATGTGCCCTGACCAGGACCTCTCAGTCCATGGGATGACTGCATCCACTGAGCCACACCGGCCAGGCACAAACAACACCTTTTAAAATTGTTACTGTTGATAGCATTATTACGTAAGATGATTTCAATTCCATTTGTAAGCAGGATTGTCCTTTTTCCCCCTATCATTCCCTCCATTTTCCTTTTCTTCTAATTCCATTCCTAGTCCCCACACAGGACAGGAAAGCAGGAGACAGTAATTCTGGTCCTCATATATCCCTGATGTGTGACTTCCCTGGGCTTGCACTGAACGACTCCTTGGGGATGGAACTAGAGCGGCCAGTAATTTCCTGGCCTGCTGTGTGTTTGCAATGTGGTCCTTCGTCTGTGGCGGCAGCCGGCCTGGGCGCCAGGGCTCCGCAGGCAGGGATGCCGGCAGGTGGACTTTCCTCTTAGGAACTGTGGTAGAACACTTCTGACATCCAATTTTTCATGGATTCTGTTTGAATATAGTTTGGTACTGTTTCTAAAGTATACAAAATTACTAGGAAATCATAGTACATCATAGTTTTATTTGCATGATACGATATCACACTGAATCGTATGCATTTTTTCTAACTCTTATCATTTTTCTAACACCGTCTGTAGTAGATATTTGTTGCTATGGCACAAATTATCCCCAAGCTTAACTATTTCCAACAACTAGCATTTGTTTTGTAGTTTCTAAGAGTTCGGACTCTGAAGTGGTTTAGTTGAGTGGTTCTGGCTTCAGGTCTCGTGAGGTTGCAGTCGGCTATCGGTCAAGGCTGCAGTCATCTCAAAACTCAATGTTGTTGAAGGACCTGCTTCCAAGCTCAGTCACGTGGGTGTTTGCAGGCCTCAGTTCTTCACAGGCTGTTGGGTAGAGGGCCTGTGCCCAGGGCTGTCTCAGTGTCTAAGGATAGAGCAGTTGGTTTCCGCAGAGCGTGTGGTAAGGGGGGGAGAGAAGGGAAGGAGAGGGTGCTGGAGCATGTCACTCTCCTCGCCCGTGCCCTGCCCAGTGGCATTCTGCATGAACTCATCTCAGCAGTTCTGTGCCATGCATCCCCCGCCTGCCGTGTGCCCTGGTCACACAGACCAGCCCTGGGACATTGAGGGACATTGTGGGCAGGGATTGCCCACAGGCATGAACACCAAGAGGAGGAGATCACGGGGGTCATCTAGGGGTCTGCCTTCCAGACATTTCCCACTGTTTTTATAGTCTCAAGTTCTGGAATTCATGTGATTTCTCCACTACTACTTTTGGGGAAATCTAGGAACTTGGAAATAATCCAGCAACACCATCTTTATTATTGTTTTCTCCCTCATTATGTTTCTCTTTAATAATAAAAACATCTCTTTTTATACTTGTGTTTTTTCAGTCAGCATTTTATTATGGAAAATTTAAAACTTCAGAAAGGCTAAAGAACAATATAATGAGCTGCCATGTACCCATTATCCAGTGTGAACAATTACTGATTCACGGCCAGTGTTGTTTCATCGGTCCCTCATTCTTCTCCACCTTGGTTACTTTGACACCTCACAGTCACAGTATAAATTCGTTGTAAATATTTCATTATATCTGTCTAAAAAATAGGGAGACTTTAAAATATCTCAATAATACGTTAGAAAATGTAACAAGAATCTTTAATAGCATCAAATAAAAACCCAGGGTTCAAATCCCCCTCTTGTCTTATTGTTAAAAATATTTTTTACAGTTTGTTTGAACCAGGATCCAAATAAGGTCTATATATTCCAAATTTCAGTGTCTTTGCATTTTATTCTTATATCTTGGATGTGAAGATTTATGTTGGTTTTTTCATCCATCCTCATCATTTTATAGATGAAAACATTTGCCGGGGGTTACATTGCTGGTTCACTTAAGATTAGAACCCACACCTTCTAGGGTTTCTTTGGTTAATCCTCACCGTAGGATATTTTTTTCCATTGATTTTTTTTTTTTTAAGAGAGTGGAACAGAAAAAGATAGGGGGAGAGCGAGAGAGAGAGAAAAACATCAGTGTGAAAGAGACACATTGATTGGTTGCCTCCCACATGTGCCCTGCCTGGGACCGGGGAGTAAACCTACGTGTCCTTGATCAGGAATCGAACCCACGACCCTTCAGTGCAGCTGACGCTGTAACATCACTGAGCCACACCGGTCAGGGCATACCTGATTCTTTGTCTCAGATGCTTTTCACTTTAAGCAGAAGATATTTTCAAGGCACACCTTTGAAAGGAACTTTTCTGTCCTTTGGTTTCCTTTTGAATTGTGAGCGATGACATGAACCTGCGTCCTCCTCACTTGGCCCCGGGTGACCGAGCTTGGTGGTGCAGATTCCAGCTGTGAGTCCCGCCCAGGGCCATGCGCTGGTGGTCCCGCTGCTCTCAGCTTTGCTCAGCCTCTTTTCAAGGTTAATTGTAGGCCCGTCTGTAAAGTCAGTGGTGCGGACCTTTGCCGCAGACAGCCTAAATCTCTCCCAGGTTGGTGCTCTCAATTTGCGGAGCCCTCACTTTGCCCTTCCAGACGTCCTGCTTTTGTTTGCTCCTGATTATATATTCTTTTGCTCATTTTTCGTCGACATATAGCATGGGAATTACTCCGTATCAGTTCGTAGTGGTCTTTTTCAGTCTTTTTTCCACACTGTTGGGTTTTTTTTTAACTTTTGTAATATTTTATGGATTTGCTTCTTATTTCAGGAAGCATTTTTAAATACTGTGTCTCCAGAAGCTTTAGAAGGTGATCACGTCGTCTTAAATACAGGCCACAGGAGGAGCTGTAAGGTAGCAGTCTTCACTGTGTGCTGTTTCCGCCTTCTGGCTCCCAGGATGAATTAATTTAGTTTTGCCTTCATGGGTCTAGATCTCCTATCTCCTGGTGAGCAAGGTTTGGACTTAGGAGAGAGCCTCAGTCAGGACTCAGTGTTCGACACTGACATCCAGCAGAATGCTCACATCCTTGCTGTGTGCTCAGGGTCGGTGATCGTGGGTGCTTTTCCGTCCTCCACAGGCCCGCCAGCTCATCCTGCAGCACGGCCTGACGCTCAGCGACCTGGACCGGCACCCAGAGGTAAGTGTCAGGCCGCTCTGTCTTGCTGTCTCCTTTTTTGTGGCTGTCGCTTATCCATGGGCTCTGGGTATCTGTCACATGTAGGACTAAGTTCAGTTCATCATATTAGCTTTTCTTCTGAGACCTTGAGTGTTAATCTTGGCTGAGGTCACAAGTTGAGAGGTGTTTGGTTTCCAGAATATCCCCTTTGGTTTAACCATGAAGACTCAATCTGAGTGTAGTGAAGGGGGATTAGACGAGCCCCCAGCTGCTCCCAGGGCTTCCTTCGGAACCTGGACAGACATATGGTAGCGAGTCGGCCCACAGAGCTTCCACCACGTGGAGAACAGAAGTAATCGTCTGAGGCACCATGCTCATGCTCATAGGTTAAAATTAAGTTTTATGGCAAAGATGATCACACACCTGGGAATTCCAGAGGAGACTGAAGTCGAGAAGGGTGAGCAGCATGCTCACAGTTAGCGTTTACTGAGCCCTTACTGTATACTAGGTATTTTGCTTAGTGCTGCACCTGTGGTAAATTATTTACTCTCCAGTAGTGTTGAGGGTGATTACTGTTATGTACCCATCTTTTCACAGATGTGACAAAGGCACCGAGAGGGCAAGCCACTTGCCCAAGACCGTGCTTTTTGTAAGCAACAGAACCTTTGAATTCGAGTGCTTCTAGCTCTAGAGTGATGAGGTCAGATTTGAGTGGAGCTGTGAAGGCTCTGTGGCGAGGGCAGGAGAGGACCTTCTAGAGAGGGATGATGGGAACCACAGGAGTAGTTTCAGGCAGACATGTGGACATATGTGGACAGTGCCCAGACTGGCTGGGGTGATCAGGACTGAGTGGTGGACGATATTGCTGCAGGTGGGTGCAGGGGAGAGGACAAAGCTGGATGGAAGAGGCAGGAGAGTAATGGCAGCTCAAAACCAGGCTGTTATTGGGGGATGGTGGCCTAGTACCCTAGTTGTCATGGTATGCAGGGGCCTGCAAAGGTTAGCAAGGACCATGGAAGGTCTTGTTGGGAGAAATCTGTGGGCAGAGCTGGGTGCAGGCTGAATCAGCTGTTGAGCACTGTTGGTCTAAATATGGGCCTGCCATCCCAACAGAAAGGGTTGCTACCTTCCAGGCCCCGGAGAGTCAGTTGTCCAGCCAAAGCCTGGCCCTAGGATTATGCAGGGTCAAGAAGGAGCAGTGCAGGCCATGACTTCAGATAAAGGCACCCTGAGCTTTGCAGGCCTTACTCCTGTGCCCCGGCAGCTGCACCAAGCAGCTTCCAGCTGCAGCTCAAACTGAGTCTGTACCCTGAAGTTCTCTGTTGCTGTTCTTAAAAACTCCTGAAACTCCTGCATTGCCCATGTGGAATACCAGGAATGAGGAGAAATACATGCTCCCTTGATTTCTGAATTTTGAAAGGCGAATGGACCGATTGCCCTTTGACACTTTGGGGGCTTTGAGGGCTGGCAGTAGAGCTTCCTAATGAAAGAATGGGCAAGCCCGACAGGTGCTCTGACAGTGTCATCGTTGGGGTGCCTCAGATAACTTCAGTTCCGGATCACACCACTGTGTGTAACTTGATAACTCTTCATCGGGTCGTCTTTGTCCGTTAGAAATTGCCCATGTTTGCCACACTAATGTGCAGACTTCTGTGTCAGTGTTTCTCAGCTCTTCCTCCCTTCCTCCGTGATATTTTAATACCACAGATACATGTGTATATCTGCTTCTGTGCTTGGGGGTGATGTCACCCACATTGAGATTGCATGATTCCCATAATTGCAGTGTGTCCACAGAGAAGCTTGTCAGTGAGAAAAGGGAGTGTAAGAGCTGAACCCAGGTGTGGTTCCCAGGCTCCATGTTTTTTTCCAGGGACCCTAGGAGAGCAGTTGAACCTCTCAGGCCTCAGTGTCTTGATTGGTTAAAAGCAGATCACTGTACTAGCTTATTGGGCTGCTGAGGGTCTGTGAGCTATTGCATGCTCAAGCTTTGCACAGAACCTTCCCTTGAAAGGCTCTTAGTGGTTTTTGTATCTTTCCTTCTCCCAACACAGATTGACCTTGCCATCGATGGTGCTGATGAAGTGGATGCCGATCTCAATCTTATCAAGGGTGGTGGGTGAGTGTTGTGGCGACTTTCTTGTTAAAGAGTATCTGCCAGTTAATCCTTAGCAAAGCAAAATGGATTTCAGAATAAGCAAATTGTTACTGTGATGTACCTGAGCTTATCTTTCGACTAGGATGTTGAGAGCTATGACTGGCAAAATAGGCATTTCTTGTCATTAGCTGCAAAATCTGGTTACTAGGAACCTGGGCCTCTTCAGTGAGATTATTCATCCTAATGTGTTTTCTGTCTTCTGCTTATTCAAGCTTTGAAACTGTGCAGGCTAAACAAGCATGTTCTGCCTTGCCCGGTTTGGGTCAGCAGTTAGAACATCGGCCCATGGACCAGAGAGTCCTGGGTTGGGTTCCCACTAAGGTCACATACCTTGGTAGCAGTTTGTCCCCAACCCCGGTTTGGGTCGTGTGGGTGGCAACCAGTTGATGCGTCTCTCTCACATTGATGTTTCTCTCCCTTTCTTTCTTCCTTTCTTCTTCCTGTTCTATCTGAAGATAAGTACAAAAATGTCCTCGGGTGAGAATAAAAAAAAAATAATAATAATAAATAAATAAATAAACAAGTATGTTCTTGGGCTACATTATTAGGTCTGTGGGCACCCGTGCGTGATCTTTGCTTCGAAGCTGCTCTTACCTCTGAGCAGTTACTGATGCATTTATTCATTCATTTAGAAAACATTGGTGTTTCTTAAGTGTTGATTTGGGGGGGGTTGGGAAGGGTGAGTTACAGAAGGTGAATTTCCTGTTCTACTGGTTCTTATACCCAAGCAGACTATGAAATGACTTAAAATTTGTTTAAAAGTTAATTGTACTGTCTACTTCATCACCCTGTTGATAGCCTATAGGCCAGGTTGTTCCAAGCTTATCTTACTTCTCCAGCCATAGACCCCTTCTGTTCCCCCCTGCTCAGATGGCTTCTCCCGAAGCTTGGGCTTTCCTCACAGATGCATCTCAGCGGCGCCAGGCCCGGCCTAACGGGGGACCCTGGTCCACTCCTAGGTTTCTCCCAGGCGCAGGCTGAGGTCTCCATAGTCCCTGCAGTGGGTGCAGCACGGCCTCGCTTCGGCTCCTGTGACAAAATGCCATTGCTGGGTGGCTGCGACAGGGGCCATCCTCAGTTCCGGAGGCTCCTTAATCGAAGGTGGCTGCCTTTCCACTGTCTTCACATCATGAGGGAGAGACTGGGCCAGCTCTCTGGTGTCTGCTCATAAAGATTTCCATCTCACCAGACCAGGGCCGCACCCCTGTGACCTCAGTTAACCACAGTTACTTCCTCAGAGGCCCCGCCTCCAAATGCGGTCACACGGGGTTAGAGCTTCAGCCTGAGAATTTGGGTGGGACACAGCATGATGGACTTAGGTCATGTCCCTTAATAATTACAAAGTAAAGGTCTCTCTAATTGCCAGAATTGAGTGGTTTTCTGTACCTGACTAGTTCCCAGATTGAGTCTGTCCTGCCCTGTGTTCATGTTCTTCTCCCCATCCAGCGGCTGCTTGACCCAGGAGAAGATTGTGGCGGGCTACGCCAGTCGCTTCATCGTGGTTGCTGACTTCAGGTGTGGTGCTGAGTGTTGTGAACTGTCTGCCAAGGAGGTAGTTAGACCCAGGCCTCACCCGCCTCTTACAGAGGAGGAACCAGAAACTTGGAGGGACTGCCTGACTCTGAGACGCACTCCTGGGATGCGCAGTGTCTGGGGCGGGGGTGCTGCTTCATTCCTGGGATGTGCAGTGTCTGGGGGGGGGGCTGCTTCATTCCTGGGATGTGCAGTGTCTGGGGGGGCTGCTTCATTCCTGGGATGCGCAGTGTCTGGGGGGGCTGCTTCATTCCTGGGATGTGCAGTGTCTGGGGGTGCTGCTTCATTCCTGGGATGTGCAGTGTCTGGGGTGGGGGTGCTGCTTCATTCCTGGGATGTGCAGTGTTGGGGGGCTGCTTCATTCCTGGGATGTGCAGTGTCTGGGGGGGCTGTGTTCTGCTGGAGGGGGGGCTGCTGTTCATGTGACCTTTGGGACGAGGAGGAGCAGCTCCATTTCCTGGCTGACAGACACCCTCACATGTCACTCACTCGGCCTCAGGGAGCCTCAGGAAGCAGGGCAGAGCCTGCCACGGGCAGTGACTCAGCACACCCCGCTTCCTCTCGGGGTCTCATGTCACTTGTGCTGCGCACAGTCCTTGACCTGGCTCTCAGGTTCTGCTTCAAGGAGTCGGGTAGAGGCACTTGTGCTGAGGTTTTGTGTTTGTTTGTTTGTTTTAGTATTTACTTGTGAACTATAGCAGTAGGAAGAACATAAATAATAAATACCTGTACCCACACAGACTAGCCATAATCAGACTCCCCCATTTTTGTCATTCTTCAAATACATTTAAAACCTCTGTGTACTTATCCCTGCTTGCCTGCTGTGCCCTTTCACTGTATTATTGACCCCATTCCTGAATTTGGTGTTTATCTGTACCACGGAGCTGGTTTATATTTATTGTGGTGTTTACTCTGTTTGCAGGAAAGATTCAAAGAACCTTGGGGATCAGTGGCACAAGGGAATTCCCATTGAGGTCATCCCCATGGCTTATGTTCCAGTGAGCCGAGCTGTGACTCAGAGGTTTGGGGGCGTGGCTGAACTTCGCATGGCCGTCAACAAAGCAGTAAGTGGCAGAGGAGGTTTCTGGAAGCCAGTCCAGGTGCTGTGTGAGCAGGAGTGCTGGGGAAGCCTGGTGTGCACGGGCTCGTGGTGTACCCCTGCTCCCCGGTCTCCTAGTGCTGGGGAAGCCTGGCGTGCACGGGCTCGTGGTGTGCCCCTGCTCCCCGGGCTCCGAGTGCTGGGGGAGCCTGGCATGCACGGGCTCGTGGTGTGCCCCTGCTGCTCCCCGGGCTCCGAGTGCTGGGGAGCCTGGCGTGCACGGGCTCGTGGTGTGCCCCTGCTCCCCGGGCTCCGAGTGCTGGGGGAGCCTGGCATGCACGGGCTCGTGGTGTGCCCCTGCTGCTCCCCGGGCTCCGAGTGCTGGGGACGCCTGGCGTGCACGGGCTCGTGGTATGCCCTGCTCCCCGGGCTCCGAGTGCTGGGGACGCCTGGCGTGCACGGGCTCGTGGTATGCCCTGCTCCCCGGGCTCCGAGTGCTGGGGACGCCTGGCGTGCACGGGCTCGTGGTATGCCCTGCTCCCCGGGCTCCGAGTGCTGGGGACGCCTGGCGTGCACGGGCTCGTGGTATGCCCTGCTCCCCGGGCTCCGAGTGCTGGGGACGCCTGGCGTGCACGGGCTCGTGGTGTGCCCCTGCTGCTCCCCGGGCTCCGAGTGCTGGGGACGCCTGGCGTGCACGGGCTCGTGGTATGCCCTGCTCCCCGGGCTCCGAGTGCTGGGGACGCCTGGCGTGCACGGGCTCGTGGTGTGCCCCTGCTGCTCCCCGGGCTCCGAGTGCTGGGGACGCCTGGCGTGCACGGGCTCGTGGTGTGCCCCTGCTCCCCGGGCTCCGAGTGCTGGGGGAGCCTGGCATGCACGGGCTCGTGGTGTGCCCCTGCTGCTCCCCGGGCTCCGAGTGCTGGGGAGCCCTGGCGTGCACGGGCTCGTGGTGTACCGCTGCTCCCCGGGCTCCGAGTGCTGGGGGAGCCTGGTGTGCACGGGCTCGTGGTGTGCCCTGCTCCCCGGGCTCCGAGGGCTGCTCTACTAATCCCGTGTCAGACTGCTGTGGGCTGACTTCCTGAGGTGTGTGTCTTCTGTGCAAGGGGGACTTTCTACCTGAAGCCTGGACCACCCTGATTAACATCTGCTCAATCCGGGCTTTGGGAAGCCCCTGGGACATCAGGTTTTTCAGCTATTGTGTTATAATTTTCTTTTCTCCTCCTTCTTTCTCATTCTGTGGTTAAATTTGACAAGTAGTAGAATTTCTTGGGGGATTTGAACCCCTTCTCAGGAATATACTCCAGATACTTAATCCAAATGTTTATCTTCAGCTTCTAAAGTGGGTTACACTGAACTTGCTTTTCTTACCCATAAATAATTAAAAGCAAAAGTAATTAAAATGTCTGAGCGGCGGGAGATCACATCCACATGCAAGGCCAGTGTAGAGCCAAATGGCTTTATTGCATGTGCCTGGGAGCAGGCGGGCTGACTCCTCGAACAGAGTTTGTTCGCTGGGTTTTATAGTTACAAACTACAGAAGGTAAAAAAACTACATTAAAGAAAACCCACATTCTCTTGGCACCGCGTAATTGGTTTCAGGGCTGATACGAGTTGTCTGCGAGGTAAGGAGTCTGCTCTGGCAGAGGTCTGGGCCATTATTAACCTCCTTCTGTTTCCTGGTCCCTCCAAGTTTCCCAAGGCCATCATTAACCCCTTGTCTTCATGGTTCCTCTGGGTGTCAGGCTCAGGTTTTTTAGAAAATTTCTCGGGTGTTTGCTTATAGGAATAGCTGGTCAGAATGGAGTTTAATTTTGTTAAAACACTATTAACCCTTTCAGTAATCATCTAAAAACTAACTATAGTTACAAGTATTACAGTCAAACCTTGTTCTCAAACATCTCCCATCTCAAACAGTTTGGTTCTTGACCAAGTTGTTCATGGAAAAAAGTCTTGGTTGTGAAACAAAACTTCGTTCTCTACCTGACTGATACCTCAGCATGACAAAAAGCGTCTCTCGGGCCACAAAGGAGAGAGTGTGCCACAGTGAGTCAGTTTACCGCTAAACCTGGCCCTGTTAACATCTCAGGAAATTGTGCTGTGATTTTTTTTTTTTTTGCTTTTGTTGCTGGTGAAATGGATGATTAGCACAATTTTAAAACATAAAGAGGCCATCAAGGGTGCTACTGTTGCCCTGGCTGGTGTGGCTCAGCGGTAGAGTGTAGGGCTGCAGACCAGTGCGTCTCGGGTTTGATTCTGGCCAAGGCACTGGCCTCGATTGTAGTTTGTCCTTGGCCCTGGTCTGGGTCATGCGGGAGGCAACCAGTCCATGTGTCCTTACATCTGAGACAAGTACTGAAACTGATTAATTTAAGGCTAATGCGGGGGATTCAGTACATTTAAGAAAAGAAGTATTTGTTTATAGATTAAACAGTACATTAGACATGTATTGTATATGAGAAAGATTAAAACGGAATCATTGGATTAATCATTTGAATTAATCTGGAACGGGTTAATATTCAATTTATATATTTCTAATGGCAAAAAAATGATTAGGTTTTCTAACAAATTGCTTCTCTGACAGCCTTCTGGAACCAATTAAATTCGAGAACTGAGGCTCCATTGTATATAAAAAAACTTAAGATACAGAAAAGAAAGGTTATCTGTAAATCTTCCTTGATACATTTTTTAATACATTTTTATTGATTTTTTTTAGAGAGAGAGGAAGGAAGAGAGATACAGAAACATCGAGGTGAGAAACATCCATCAGCTGCCTCCCGCACACCCCCTACTGGGGATCAAGCCTGCAACCAGGCATGTGACCTGACCTGGAATCAAACCGGGACCTCCAAGTCCATGGGACGATGCTCAGCCCACTGAACCACACCAGCCGGGCTCTTGATACATTTTTATCTTGATGTGTTTTCTTTCTGGTGTGTTAGTGACTTTTCAGAATCATTGTCCTGATCATTGTCTGTAGTTGGACAGACCTCTGACTCGGGCTCCCTTTGTAGCTGAGGGACCAGGAGGAAGTTGTTGGAGGTTCCCTCTCGTAGCTGTGGTTATTCCAGAAAAGAGCCTCGGCGTCCTGCCTTCGTGGACCCCTTCACTGAGCACCCGCCCTTCCCAGTTGCAGGGGAGCCCTAGTCTCTCTGCCTTTGACTGTGCTGTTCTCGCGGCGTTTGTGGTCCTGAACACTTCGTAGTGCCCGGAGCTGTTGAGGAATTCTGCATCAATGAACTGAAACGACCCCCACCTGTTTGACCTCAGAACCCATCTCTGCTTCCTCTCTTTCTGCTGGGGCTGCCTGTGACTGTGGGTGACATAGCATTACCTCATTTCACGTTATTGACGGTACTTCGTGTGAGGCCCTGAGAATTCTGTGCCTGGTAGCCTGGTTCTGAAATCCAGTAATAGCTGAGAATTGCTGCGCGCTCACTGCGAGCATTCGCTGTGGAAATTGCTTACCCACGTGGTTTAGACCTAAGCTGCCTTGTGAAGTCGGAATCACATACTTTCTGCAGCTGAGGAATCGAGGCTCACAGAAGTCCGTGGTTCCTGAGATCTGCCCCTATGTGGCGTCCAGACTCCAGTCCGGACCCCAGAGCTCTTGCTCCTCGCTGCTCACAGCACTGCGTCCTGGAAAGAGGGGGGCAGGGGGACGGCTGGGGAGGGATCCTTGGGACACTTTTCTTTGGCTCCTGCCTCCACTTTCCCGCCCCTGTCTACCTACCTGTATCTTCATCCTTGTAAATGTGGGAACTTATCTCCTAGGGCCCCGTGGTGACGGATAACGGGAACTTTATCCTGGACTGGAAGTTTGACCGGGTGCACAAATGGAGTGAAGTGAACACCGCTATCAAAATGATCCCAGGTAACGTGGGTGGCATTCGCCCTCCCTTCACGGAGCCTTCCCTCCTGACCGTTGCTGAAGCGGTAGGGAAGGTGGCTGCGCTTGCGGCCTTCCCAGACCAGCCACAGGCAGGGCCTCTCCACTGGCAGGGAGCGCTCGCCCCAGAGAACGTGGTGTGCCCCGAGGAAGGCGATGTGGCTGTGGGGCCACGGCCACCAGTAAGAGGGCGTGGGCTACATGCCGCCAGGGGAGGAGAGGCCTAGAGTCGCCAAGCTGTGTCTCAGGGAGTGTGGGGCAGCCCCACGGACAGGCAGCTGTCCTCGCTCTGTGCGCACACGTGTCCCCTCTGAGCCCAGCCCCTTCGCACAGGCACACGGTGCACGCAGGATGAGGAAGCTGAAGGGTTTGTCCAGGGTCCGAAGCGCCAAGACAGGAGCCCCAGGCAGCCTTCAGACCCTAAACGTTTGGTTCCTCCTCCTTCCAGACCCAGGGGCTGAGTGACAGGGACATCGGAGCACTGGAGAGCCTCAGGTCGGGGCCCTGGGTAACGGTGGGCGGGCAGCGTAGAGCGGAGTTTTGAGTGTGGGCTAGCGGAGGGGCTAAGGGCTCCTACGAGGGGATCAAAAGGAGGAGGGAGAGGTGAGAAAGATGAGTCTGCGGTTTGAGAGACTAACATTCCGGCTTCCAGAACTGGCTGACGAGGCAGGGAAGGCGGCTCAGCAGGTGGCGACGGCGGGGCAGCCTGCCCCAGCCCTGCCCTCCACGGGTGGGGCACTGACTGTCTCGCCCTCTGTAAGGCTTATTCTAATGCCCACCTCGCAGGATTGTTGGGGTCAGATGAGGTGAAATGGTGCTCAGCATCCAAGGTGGTGGTTGTTGAATGACTACATCCCTGGGAAGAAGATATCGTCTTCATTACTTAGTGCTAGATTCTAAGTTATCCTGCTTTGGGATTGAAAATGGTGTGAGTATATACCATGTTATAAAGAGCTCATTCTTCCAACCTTACTTTAGTTCGCTGTTTCAGTCTTCCATCGACATTTTTTACCAGATTTCTTAAACTAAAAAGATGAGTTGAATCATGCTTATTCTCTCACTTAGTGTTATCTTTTTATTGGAAGAACTAAAGAATCAAGCAGGCAAGAGGAAGAACAAACACAGAGGTCACGCTTAGTAAGATGGGAGGATTTGCCTTAATGACAACACAAACCAGCCACGGGCCCGGCAGGAAACGTCACTGGTGCCGCTGCTGCCCTGGGGCAATCGCCACAGTGCCCACGGGCAGCTCCGTGCTCCTGCTCAGCTCTTTCCTGCTCACTGTGACACGGAGGTGCCTTTGCTCTTCACCTCAGTACAGGTTTCAGCCCAGAGATGACTAGAGTCTGAAGAACTTACAGTGAAGAACATGAAAGAAGAGAGGCTTGGATGTGAAATCATTTAGCACAGTGCGGCCAGGATCGCCTCGTGGTTCGCTCTCTCTCTTCTCGCCCCGGTTTGGGCCATTGTACTACTTGCTGCTGGACCGAGACCCGGGAGGGGAAGCACGTGTCCTGCTCTGCTGTCACCCTGCTGTGTGCGCTCACGAGGTCACTGAGAGGTCACCACACTGCCTCTGCATGTGCCCTTGGGTGACGCCCAGAGCAGACGGGCTGTGTAGAAGGGCCCCACTGCTGGGGCTCTTCCCGTGTCCACACTGGGCGTCCTCGGCCATGCCTGCTATGTGAGGGATGGGGTCGGGCATTCCCTCCATCTGAGGAGAGGTTGCTCCCGGATTAGACATTTGACACATTTTCTGAACCTGGTTTGACTGTCTCTCGGATCGGATGGAACCTGTCACCTGTGTCACGGTGATGTGAAAAGGACGGGTCTTGAGTGGCCACTTTGCTTATCTTTGGGAGGCTCCAGCCTGTTCGCACAGTTCAGTGCGAGGGACCTTTGTGTTTCAGTGGTTTATTCTCTACCTGGTGGCTTTTCATTGACGATAGATTATTTTATTTATGTATTGGAGGTGTTTGGGGAAGTTTTAATTATTTTTATTCTTTTGAATTTATGTAGTTTAATAATACAAGAGTAAACAGTGAAAATCTCTTTCTTCTACCCCTCCAACTTTCCCTGTCTGGAGGCAGGCAGTGTTCCCAAAATTGTGTCCTCCTTGAGCTCTTTGGTGAACAAAGCCACCCTCCCCCATGCCACTGCTCTTTATACAAGTGAAAACACACTAGATACAGGTTTTGCTTCCTAGTTTTTTCTGTCGTATAGATTAATACAGAATAGTCAGTGAAAGAGCTTCCTCACTCTTTTAAAAATAATTGCAAGACTAGCCCTATCCTCCTGACACTTCCTGTTGCCCCACCCTGCCAACCTTGAGCCCTGGTGGCTGCAGCCAACCTGGGCCCCGTTGCCTCCTGCACATGCCTAGACCAGGGCTAGGGATTGAACCTGCAACTCAGGGGGTGCACCCTTGACTGGGAACCAAACCCATGACCCTTCAGTTGACGGGCCAGTGCTCCAACCACTGAGCCACACCAGCCAGGGCCCATTGTATTCTTGAGGGACTCTCGAGGTCCAGGAAGGCTAAGGGAGTGTCGGAGACACATGGGGAGAGACTGAGTGTGTGGCCCTCAGGCAAAGGACATTATTTCCTGCGTACCCCGTGCCACCGTTCCTGTGCAGAGATCTCCCTTCACAGGACCAAGTCTTAATCTGTTTTAGCCTGATGGACTCTGCTGGCCTCACCCTGAGGACTCCTTGAGACCCCGCCCCGCTACAAAGTTGTGCGGGCACTGGGTGGGGGGCAGCCACACTTGGATACCCTGACACTTTGTTGAGTGGCCTCAGACCCAGCACTGCCATCGAGATGGAGAACACCTGTTTCCCTACCTGGTGACTCACTGAGAATCTCTTCAGGTAACTCAGGCGTTTAGTGACTGACAGGCAGCCAGCAGGCGGAGCTGGGTCATGGGTGCTGTGGGCCTTTTGCTGCCCTGCCCCTGGCTCAGCACTGGTGGTAGTCAGCCTCGGGGCACTGCTTGGCTCCTCCCTTGCGGACACAGGCCCAGCAGAGGACCACCAGCTGTGGACCACTTTGTAGCTCCAAACAGGTAGCCCGGGGCCAGTCACAGGCAGTGCCTGACATCAAGCTGCACCAGAGTCCCTCCCAAGAGGTCCCAGAACCAACACATCCAGTGGTGAGCTTCAGACCACATCAGAGCACAAGCCAATTAGCTCCACAGGCAGCACACTCAAAGGAAGATCTCCGCAGGCACCAGACCCTGCTGGGCCAAACTTTGCTTCGTGAGCTCAGCCCCCACACAGCAGCTCGTACACGGGTCAGGGTCAGTCCTCACAGCCCAAGGGTCATCCCCACACACGGATGATTCAGCAGCAGTCAAGACTCAACTACAACAGGAGGGCTCACGTTACCCATTCAAGGGACATTCCTGGAGTGCATGCCTCACATGATCAGGGAGACTGCACCACTGAGCCCCACAGGACACCTATTACATAGGGCCATCTTACCAAGACGAGACCAAAAAAAGAACCAGTCAGACATGAAGACTACAGTAACAAATTAATACACTGGAAGGAACCAGCAGCAGATAGATGAAGCAGGTCAGATCAGCAATTTGGAAGACAAGGTAGCAGAAAACATTCAATCAGAGAAGCAAGAAAATAATTTTAAAAAATGAGGATAGTTTACGGGACCTCTGGGACAATAACCGTATCATAGGGGCACTGGAAGGAGGAGAAAGAGAGTGAGGGATTGAGAACCTATTTGAAGAAATAATGACAATCCAAGAGGTGAGGGTTAAAGGCAAAGAGAGAATCTTAAAAGCAGCAAGAGAAAGACATACCTACAAGGGAGCTCCCATAAGACTGTCAGCTGATTTCTTAACAGAAACTTTTCAGGCCAGAACGGAGTGGCAAGAAATATTCAAAGTGATGAAAAACAGACCTATGACAAAGACCGCTCTACCCAGCAAGGCTGTCATTTAAAATCAATGAAGAAATAAAGAGCTTCCCAGACAAGGGAAGGCTAAAAGAACTTATCACCACCAAACCAGTGTTATAAAACGGCTTCATGGCATTTCATTTTCCAGCTATTGCATAATTTATTTCACCAGATCCCTACTAGAGGATATTTGTGTCCAGTCCTTTGCTAGAAGGGAGTTACTGGATCAAAGGATAAGTGTGTCTCGTGTTGCTGGATGGTGTTGAGTGGCCCTCCATGGAGTGCACCAGTTTACCCATGTGCCCGCAACACATGCGGGAGCCATTGGACTTTCCCTGCTGGTTGAACAGTATCATTTCATTGTAGCCTGTGTGTATACAGTTGACCCCTGAACAACACAGGATTTGAACTACACAAGTCCACTTATATGTAGACTTTTCAGTTGACCTGTGCAATTCAAACCCGTGCTGCCTGAGGGTCGGTCCCGGGTGGGTATCAGTGTATGGCAGAGGGCCAGCTGTAGTTATATTTCAGTTTTTGGCCATGAGGGAGGTCGGTGCCCGTAACCCCCGAGTTGTTTAAGGGTTAACTGAATAAGTATTTTCAGTAAAGGTCGCTCACACTTGCAGTTAATTCTCATTGCTGAATAGTATTCCATCCTATTTATGTGTGTGAAAAAAAGTTTCTGTATTTATTCTACTCTTGATGGGCATTTGGGTGTTTCCAGTACAGGTCTCTTGATGACCATATGTATGCCTAACAGTTGCTTATATAACCAGAGTCGCACTGCTGGATCATTAGATATGAATATGTTCAGCTTTAGAAACTATATCAACAAACATTTTCCAAACTGGTTTGCCAGTTACTCTCTCTGCCAACATGTAAAATGTCTTTTCACCCTCGGCAGATTCCACCACGCTCTGTCCGCGGGGCGCGTCGTGGTGTCGCGCAGCTCTAATCTGCACTCCTTGTTGTGTCGTTTGACCCCACTTCTCCTGTTTATGGCCGTTTTTGTGAAGGGCCTCTGAGTCTTTTGCCCATTTTCCTACTTGGTTGTCCTCTTACTGATTTGGAGAGTTGTTTACAGATTTCGATGTGGGCCTTTTGTTGGGTATACACATTGCAAATAGCTTGGGCTCTGGGGAAACCTCTAAGGCTCACCATGTGATTTAGAGTAACTGGGAGCGGGTTTACTTAGTCACGGAAGACCCCCAAACTGGAAAATGACTGTTGTGTGACATCTGAGGGACAGAAGAGGCAGCTGTTGTAGCTGTCAGAGGTGACCAGTACAGCAGAGGGAGTAGCATGACAGCTGCTGCAGCGGTCAGAGGTGACCAGTACAGCAGAGGGAGTAGCATGACAGCTGCTGCAGCGGTCAGAGGTGACCAGTACAGCAGAGGGAGTAGCATGACAGCTGCTGCAGCGGTCAGAGGTGACCAGTATAGCAGAGGGAGTAGCATGACAGCTGTTGCAGCGGTCAGAGGTGACCAGTACAGCAGAGGGAGTAGCATGACAGCTGCTGCAGCGCTCAGAGGTGACCAGTACAGACAGGGAGTAGCATGACAGCTGTTGCAGCGGTCAGAGGGGACCAGTACAGCAGAGGGAGTAGCATGACCGAAGGCTGTGAGGCCGGAAGACGTTTCCACACGTGGTCTAGAGTCAAGACAGCAGGGGAGAAAGGACTTGTAAGAAGAAATAAAAAGAATCAGAATCTCTTTTTATTTTTCCAGTGTTGCTAATGGTCATTGCTCCTGCTGACCCTCTAACCCTTGATTCTTTTCTTGCCCTGGAAAGCTGAAACTTAATGCTTCCTCCCTTCCTTTGTCCTGCAGGTGTGGTGGACACGGGCCTGTTCATCAACATGGCTGAGAGAGTCTACTTCGGGATGCAGGATGGCTCCGTGCACATGAGGGAGAAGCCTTTCTGTTGACCCTGCCAGGAGCGCAGCGTGTTCACCTCGCGCCCCAGCCCCAGCCCGCAGCCAGGTGGACGCGCCTCCGCAGGAGCCTTTGCCTTAACGTACCCGTGCCAGGGGCAGCCGGTGGGGTTCAATCAGTCTTCTTGTATTGTTATTAAATGTTTTTTTAAAAAGAGAAATATGAACATATATTTTTACTATTAAAAGTACTCAGTTTTTAAAATAAAGTACAACTTGAATTCATGGTTTATATAAAACATTTGCCAAAAAGGGGGTGGGGCCTGTCTTTTAAATGTTTAACTTGAGCCTGCTGGTTAAACTTCTGAATACTGTTTGCTGAGGGTTGTAAACCGAAATTTTTCTGTAACATGAGAAGAAGGGCCAGCCAGCGATGCCCCTGCCTGCCCGGAGCGCGGCGCTGCTTCCCGCCACACTCCTCCTCGGGTCCGAGTTGTGCCGTGTCACGCACAGTGCCTCGTCACACTTCTGACTGCGGTGTGCGTGACCCCGCGTGCACTGCCGGGGACGCGTGCTGGCCTCCTGTGAAGGTCGGGTTCCTTCGGAGCCCTGCTGTGGGAAGCACTTGGCCCGGAGCACGTGCTAGTACTGCTGTGAAATGTGAGGCTCTTGTAAACGATTGTCTGTTTGTTACTGTTTTATTTGTTCTTTTATAATTACCTGCATGGCTCAGCATCAGAAGTCTCACCTCTTTATATTGTGTGAGGGTTGAAATAAAACAGTGTGGTGCCTCTTCCACGTCGACTCTTGTCTCTACTGCAGCGTTTGCAGCAGGTTGTGCGAAGATGGGGGTCAGTGCTGTGCACTGGCTGGTTTGGCTCAGCGCTGGAGTGTTGGCCCTCAGACCAATGGCTCCCGGGTTCGACTCCGGCCAGGGCACGTGACCTCAGTTGCAGTTTGTCCGCAGCCCTGGTTGGGGTCGTGCGGGAGGCAATCAATCGCCGTGTCCTTCTCACGTTGATGTTTCTCTCTCTCATTCCCCTTCTCTCTCCCATTCTGTCTGAGGATAAATGGGAAAATATCCTCAGGTGAGGGGGAAAATCAATTTTGCTCACCTAGTTTACATTGGATCTTGATGAGGGGAGAAATTTACTCAACAAATCTTGAGCCACAGAGTAGGTAAATATTTCCTTTATTCCTGAGAGAGCTTGGTATCAGTTTTATTTTCTTTGTTAGTTATGGACAACACAGCTGAACAAGTCACAAATTATTCCCAAGTTTTATATTAGTAAAACCTTTAGTCAAGGACACTGACAAGTGGTGAAATGGTGACCTGAATGTCACCCTCATCCCCCTCCTGTGTGCCCGGAGATCAGTGAATTGCCCAGAGAGCCCCATGGACAGGGACAGGAGAGGCGGGGACAGCTGGTCGCGGTCGTCCTCCCGGGCCACGGGAACCGCCTGAGAATCCTGCTCTCCCGGTGCTGGCTCAGGGTCCGAGAACAGTCGGCTTGCCCTCCGTTTGGAAGCTTGGGTCGTCGCTGCCAAACTTGTTGACATCTAAGTCTCTGCCAAATTAAGTTGCAGAATAAAAGTTCAGGACTGAGCATTGAAGAGGCTTTGTTTTTCTTGCCGAATTCCTTCTATTTTTCTTTGAGCTCAAAGTGCTCTTTAAAAATGTTTTTTTTGCCCTGGCCGGTTTGGCTCAGCAGTTAGAGCGTCAGCCTGCAGACCAAAGAGTCGCAGGTTTGATTCCGGCCAAGGGCATGCATCTCGGTTGCGGTTTGTCCCTGGCGCTGGTCGGGGTCATGCGGGAGGCAGCCAGTCAGTGTGTCCCTCTCACATCGAAGTTTCTCTCTCTTACTCTCTCTCCCCCACCTCTCCCTTCCTTCCACTCTATCTAAAGGTAAATGGAAAAATATCCTCAGGTGAGGATTTTTAAAAAATAAAATAGTTTTCTCACACACAGTTGGGAAACCTACTGTTAGGAGTGCTTTCTTTTTCTTCGAGACTATTTTGGTCTCCATGACAGTCAGTTTTTGCACAAAATGGGCACTAGGTCTTAGCTGAGAAAATCTGATAGAACTGATGTTAAAAAGGACCTTTAAGGCTCTGTGGTGTGGATTAAATTCAGGAGTAAGACCAACAACAAGCCACCCGGGTTCCCGAGGACGCCGCACGGGCTCTGGGGCCGGCCTTCAGCTGCGTCACTGGCCCTCAGCCCACCGGAAGCCACTCCAGGTGAGGGGCCTCTCTTCCCGAGAAAACCCGACTTGCCATGCTTCAGACACACGCACCGCAGTTTGTTCTTGGGGTAAATTTTGATTCAAGTTTCTTCAATAAAATTGTTAAATGTGACCTTATAGGCGGTAGGTTGGATGGAAACCACTTGCAGGCTGCTGATCAGTGTGAGGGCACAGGGAAGGTGCTGGTCAGTGTCTGGGAACCGTTATAACCAAGTTAAACTGCCCCGTCGCTGGGGGGGATAAAGAACAAACCCTACTGAATTTTGGTTTCAGCGGTGGCTCATAAAGTATTTATACTCTTCATCTATGAAAATTGTTCTGAGTCCCCATCATATGCAAATTCCTAGGGGGACTTGGGGCAGGGACAGAAAAGTGAGATGCCACCAGTGCTCCAGATGTTTCCAGCCTGCTGGGCTGGACAGACAGGTGGGGGGGGGACACTCCCATGGAGAGGGAATGCGAGGGGAGGCCACTGCGGCACAGTGCGGGAGGACACGGGTCGTGTGAGCCTGTCACCGCTGCGGCACAGTGCGGGAGGACACGGGAAGTGTGAGCCTCTTTCCACTGCGGCACAGTATGGGGGGGGGGGGCACGGGACCTGTGAGCCCGTCACCGCTGCGGCTCAGTGCGGGAGGGCACGGGTCGTGTGAGCCTCTCTCCGCTGCGGCACAGTGCGGGAGGACACGGGAAGTGTGAGCCTCTTTCCACTGCGGCACAGTATGGGGGGGGGGGGGCACGGGACCTGTGAGCCTCTCTCCGCTGCGGCACAGTGCGGGGGGGCACGGGACCTGCTACCACTGCCTGTGTGCCCTGCCGCTGCTCGGGGTCTTCAGCCTGTTTCAGCAACATGCTGGCATTTGCTCAGTTTGTGGAGTGAGAAACAGGCTGAGTTTGAGTTACTTGTCCAGGCCATGTGCTGGAAACAGACCAGACTTCTCTGGCTCGGGCCGTGCTCCTAATTTCAGTGGCGCGGCTGTGACTAGGTTTGTTCCTGAACTACAGTGTCCATCACTCGCAACTTGAGTCACAAGTACTTTGTGCAAGTACTGAAGTGAGTGAAATTGTGTATTTGGCTGATGTGTGTGTAGGGGGGCTCTTAGGGAACCTATACTATTCACTTCTGTTTTCTGATGGGCTTTCTTAGTGGGAGGAGGGGTGGAATATTGCACAACTTAGGGTTGGCCGTGGGCAGGTGCCCTTTGCTGAAGTCACCGGTGTCTGCCCCCACTGAGTTTCCGCTCGCCCCTGAGCTCCTCTGCCCCTCCCCGGGCCTGGGCTACGGGCCCTGTGGCAACCGCAGCTGGGGAGGATGTTATGGCCAAGGGTTGGTGGCTCCCCTTAGCCAGGCTCTCAGGGAAACGCAGTTCTGCACAGCGGGTTGGAGGGGCCAGCTCAGCCACAGGCCGCAGGAAGTCTCAGCGCATTGGGACTGAGGGCCTTGGGGCTCCGTCCTCCTGTCTTCTGGGAAGGACTCCAGGAAGCGGTGCTTGTCCCTGGCCGGGCCGGATGTCCTCAGAACAGGAGGATTCTGTGATCGGAACTAACTGAGAAGGGCAGCGGCGTTGAGGGAGGCTGACGCTGGGCTGAGACGGCAGCAACCCCGCTCCTGAGCCAGGGGGTCTGGTCCTTTGTGTGGTCTGGACAATGTTGTCTTGTGCCTGTGTTGAGATGTGGTTACAGGGTCATCTGGTTTCTGTTCATTTCTCACAGTCCGAGTGGCCTTGTGTGATGCTGTTCTGTGAAATGTTCTGGGTTCCACAGGAGAGCACAGCAGCCTGCCTGTGGGGGCCAGGCTAGCTTGCAGCAGCCAGGCCCGACGAGCCGCGCCAGTCGGTGGCTCATTCTCATCAGGATCTGCTGAGCCCGGGATCCAGAGGGCCCAGGCGTCCTGCCGTCACCTTGTGGCATTCCCTGGGTCCCTAGGCACTGAGCTCCGCCTGTGCACGAGGCTCTGGGAGGAAGGCTCAGGTGCCCTGTGCTGTAGCTCCAGCCTTCAAAGACCCCACTGGTGGCACAGCAACTGCTCCCTGTGACTTGCTCCTCAAAGCCTGGCGTTGCTCACTTCCGGGCACACCTAGCAGCTGACGCGGCCAGACTTAGGACTTCATTAGCTTTCGCTCCCCACCGACCTTGCCAGCAGTGATGTTTGGCACAGGCTCAGTGCCTTTCCCTTTGCAGTGACGGGTGGCACCACAGGTCAGCAGAGCATTCCCGTGTGGCCCAGCAACCAGACGCGCCCACGTGGCCCTCAGCGCGGAGCAGCGGGAGGGGAGTGCTGCTCGGAGAGGTGGGGGGCTGGTGAGCGCGGGCAGCGGGCGCAGAAGGGCGGGAAGGGCTGTCCTGGAAGGCAACCCCAGTGTTCCGCGGACAGTGCGTTATTCACACTGACCAACGAAGTAAATTTGGTTTTGAAACCCTTCTTTTCTGTCGGACCCCCGAGAACATTCCTGCTCAGCAGTGTGGAGGGAAGGAAACCAGAGGCCTGGTGGGGTGTCTGTTCCCTGGTGTCGGAGAGAACATCACTCAAGGGAGCGACCAGGTTCCGGGGTCCCAACCCAAGTTTCGAACAGAGCTGTCCTCAGCGGAGGGTGGGCTGGTCTGCAGTGGCTGCTGAGCCCTGACGTGGGAGCCGGCTGCTGGGCCAGTGCCCCTCTGTGTCCCTGGAGCTGTCCCCGTCTCTGCAAACCCGCGAGACGCTGGAGCTGGCGTCCAGGGCAGCACAGGCACAGTTGGGGACAGCGCTGCCGGTGGAAATGGAGCCGCACTACAAACGTACAAACAGGTGAGATCAATTTTTTAAATTTATGTTTTTGTTGATTTTAGAGTGAAAGGGAGAGGGGGAGAGAGAAAGAAACACTGACGAGAGAGGATCGGTGATGGGCTGCCTCCCGCGCGTTCCCTGACTGGGAATCGAACCCGTGACTTCTCGGTGCTTGGGACCACGCTCAACCAACTGAGCCACGCGGACCAGGTCCAGGTGAGATTAATTTTAACAAAATATTATGTAACCCAAAATATCTAAAATGTTACCATTTTAACATGTAATCAATATTTTACTTTCTTTTTTGTACTAAGTCTTAAAAATACAGTGTATTATACTGCATCTCACGGAACTGCACACTTCAGGGCAGGCCAGCGCGCGAGGGGCTGGCGCAGGAGGGCACAGCGTGGAAGGTCCACGTGCCGGCGGCGTGGCTTTAGGGCTCTGATGTCCTGGAGCCAGCCTGGGGCCTGCGCACTTCCTGAGAGACCACAGAGGGTCAAGTCAAACTGAGGGCACCCCAGGGGCCCACTTAGTGGTCCCAGTTTGAACTGAGACCGTCTATGCTTCAAGCATATGAACTTCTTGACCTTATCAGTGGCCTTAAGTCCTGGAAAGAACACATTCTTTCAGCTTCTAAGTTCAATGGTTATGTTAGTGGAGTTCATATTATTTTTTGTGATTAACATGAACTACTATCTTAAGATAGTAACGTCGGTTTCTTCCACTTTGTTCTGGAGAAGTTATTTCACCTCTAACCCGTGGTGTCCTTAT